AAAGAGCAAAACAAAACACGTACAAACCTATAGACAACATCTGTGTAGTTACAGTGAATGGACACGAATCAAGATTAGAAGAGTTATGTTACATAAAGGATTTTTGGTTTGGGCGTTGATAGTCTTTTCAGCAAAGCAGGGTGCTGAACTTTTTAAAAGTTTAAAAACGGAAAATGAGCCTGGCTGGCCATGGTTGCAGTCGATCAATGATTCTCTCTCATCATTGATATTTCTACCTCTTTCTCCCTCTCCCTTCCTCTCTGAAATCAATAACAATATATTTTTTTAAAAATGGAAACTGAGATTCTACCACATGGCTCTGGGAGGAAGTCGCAAACCCAGAGAAGTAAGCTGCCTCCATTTCTAAGTGCCCTGGTTTGTCCTCTGGTCTCCTAATCAGAAATGAGACATGCCACCAGACACGGTGTCCTGGTCCCATTGAGCAGGCTTGTGCATGCTTTCTGATGAAGCTCCAAGAGGCCGGGGCAGCTGTGGGGTGGATTGGGTTGGAGGCACCTAGAAGGGATTGCCCTGGAGGCTGGGGCAGAGAGATGGGAAAGAAGAAGCGGGGCAAAGGAGAAGAGCAGAACTTCCAGACTCTCCATAGGTGCAGCCCCATTCCCTCTTCCTCCGAGAAGCCTTCCCAATCAGCCCGACCTTGAACCATGCTCCCCCCTTGAACTTCTAGAGCACATGTTGGTGTGTAACAGACTCAGCCCAACACTACTCCCCAGTTCCAGCTACTTTCCTAATGTCGGTGTTAAAATTTAACGTGCATTTGGCCGTTGGGTTTCTAAAGGATTGTAGTAGCTAACTAGTGTCTAGGTCAGTTCCCAAAGCCTGGTTACTCCCATCAAGAGGCAGGACTACACAAGTCCACAAGCAGATAGGCTCATGTCTGTCCCTCTCCCATGACCTCAAGAGAGCACCCAGGGTGTCTGCAGCCCCAGAGGCACCTGCTGAGACCGTCAGAGAGAGGGTTCTTGGAGAGCAATAGGTGCCCCAAACAACTTCACTCCTCCTGCAGTCGGTAGAGGGTGCTAGATATTTGCTCTTGGGGGGGCTATGACATTGTTTCTTTCCTCTTTGAGATTCCTACACTTTCTTTCCTGCTGGACACTGCAGGATGTGGGGTTACTAAGGTTTGCTATATAAATTAACAACCTTACACACTCTGTAACCTTAGACTCTAGCAGTTCACCAAAATCCAGGCCCTCTGCTTCTGCCTGTACACACGGCTGGACCACATTTCCCAGTCTCCCTTGCAGTTAGGTATGGTCACATGACTGGTTCTAGCCAATGGAATACAAGCACAGGTAACACTTCCTGGACTTGGTAAATCCGCCCACAAGCCTCCTCCAGGCGGTTTCCCCTTCCAGCCTATTGGGTAGAGTCAACCATGGGAAACTGGAAGGTGCTGAAGGTGGCAGGGCCTCCATCAGCCAGGATCCCTGAGCCTTACCCGCAGACCAGGAATTGTGCACATGAGTGGGAAACTAGCCTCTTCTATGCTTAAGCCATTACACCTTTTTATCATTATCCCTGCAGCTGGCTGATCTTCCCACCTCCACGTTCTGGGTAGCCTGGCTCCATCTGACTGACAGCCACCCAATATGGCTTCCTTGTTGTCTCCTCCCTCCACCCCAATCTAAACTCTGAGAATCAGGGACTGGGTGCTGTTTCCCGCTGTGTCCCCAGTGGTAGGACAGTGCCTGACACAGAGTAGATGCTTAATAACAATCTGTTGAGCACACAAAAGAGTGAGTTCTGTTTTACCCATTCTTCGTGAGTCCTGGTCTCCATAGAAAGGACCCGGGACCCCAAGAGCGGGAACCAACCTCTTCCTTCAGTGTCTCCTCCAACTCCCGAGCTAGAAAATTAGCCTTTGGACCCAGCCTGTGACCCTCCTGCTGGCACCCTCCCAAATCCTTCCCACCACGGTCTGTGAGGAACTGGCTGAAGAAATAAACACAGTCACTGTAGACCAGCTGCTAAATTACCAGAATCGAGCAGGCTGAGGTATGAGGAAGCGATTCTACTCTTGTTCTAACGAGCCTGGAACGCAAACGTTTTGAACTTTCCCGTCCTGCATCGAAGCCTGGCCATACATCTGCACACGTACCAGACCTCCAGATAACCTTCCGATGCTCTCCCGAAGGGCTCGCGCAGCCAGACCACATGACATCATCCTGACCACTGGACATGACCAGACCTCCTGGCTCCCATCCTCCAGGTCACCTGACATCGGTAATGGCCCTGGAGCAGTGCTAGGGCTAAGAACGCAGGGCCAATAATGTTCAAGAATGTGCTTTATATTGTAAGAATTCTCAACTTTTTTTTCTTCTTTGGAACATTTCTGGGTTTTTGCCTGGCCTGTTGACTGCATCTCTATCATTTATTTCTAGCCAAATCCTCCAGACTCTTTGAATTCATTCGATATCTGTGGCCTCTGTGCCCCTCAGCCCGGGGTCCCCTTGCAGTCACACCTGTCACACTGCACAGCAGGTGTGGGTGTCTGCCTTTATCACCCACCACACCCCACCCTCTATTAGACTGGGAGACCCCGGAAGCCAGGGCTCTCTTATTCATCTTGGCATAGTCCCAGTGTCGGGCATAAGTGCCTCTTAGGAAACAAGCTTTCCACAATCTACACTAATAAAAGAGAAACATGGTAATTGGCGTACGACCGCTACCCTTCCCATTGGCTAATCCCCCTGTCACTCAGAGTAGGGCCGAGATATGCAAATTAACGTGCAGCCAAGATGGCGGCCGGCAGCCAGGCAGCTGATGCGAACAGGGAGGCTTGCTTGCTTCAGTGACGGAGGACTCCGACATTCCCCGCCTGACTTGACGGCCTCTCAGCTGCAACTCTAAGCAACTATGTTGCGAATAAAGAAGCTAAAAAAACCCCAGAAACCTGCTTTAATCAGTGGAGCTTCAGCCGGCCGGACCGCAACATTGTATCAAATACAGACAGTAAACAAAGGCCAGAAACCTGTTTTCAGCAGCCGAGGCTTCAGAGCTAAAGCTGGCCCAGAATTTAAAAAAAAAAAAAAAGGAGCGGTTGGGAGCTTCAGTCCCAGCCTGAAAACAGCCCTCAGCCCCTCAGCCAGACTGGCCAGACACCCCAGTGGGGACCCCCACCCTGATCCAGGACACCCTTCAGGGCAAACCAGCCAGCCCCACCCATGCACCAGGCCTCTATTCTATATAGTAAAAGGGTAATATGCCTCCCGGCACCAGGATCAGCATGACAGGGAGCAGTGCCCAAATCCCCTGATCGCCCTGCAGTTCTGTGTGTGACAGGGGGCGGGGCCACAACCCCCTCGCCCCCCACAGGCCCTGCTCTGTGTGTGACAGGGTAGAGCTATAACCTCCCCATTGGCCCTGCCCTGAGTATGAGAGTGGCGGCGCCCCAACCACCTGATCGGCCCTGCTCTGTGGCTGTTAGAGGGTGGCACCCCAATGCCCCCCACCACGGGCCCTGCTCTGTGTGTGATGGGGAAGAGTCATAACCTCCCCATCTGCCCTGCCCTGAGTGTGACAGGGGGCGGTGCCCTAACTCCCCTATCGGCCCTACTCTGTGAGTGACAGGGGGGAGCTCCTCAACCCCCTGATCGGCCCTGCTCTGTGCATGACAGGGGCGGCGCCCCAACTCCCCAATTGGCCCTGCTCTGAGCCCAACCAGGGGCTGCACCTAGGGATTGGGCCTGCCCTCTGCTACCCGGGAGCAGGCCTAAGTCAGCAGGTCGTTATCCCCCGAGGGGTCCCAGACTGTGAGAGGGCACAGGCCGGGCTGAGGGACCCCCCCTACCCCCAAGTGCACAAATTTTTGTTCACCGGGCCTCTAGTATTTAATAAATATTTTTAAGTATTTATATAATATTTCGTTATGTAAACATAAATTACTTAAGTATATACTATATAAATGTATTTATATTATGTACTTATAATACTTATATATTACTTAATACATATTTTATTTATTATTATTATTTATTTTTGGTTAATCCTCACTCGAGGATATTTTCCCATTGATTTTTAGAGAGAGTGGAGGGGAAATGAGAGACGGAAAGAGAGAAACATCAATGTGAAAGAGACACATTGATTGGTTGCATCCTGCACGCGCCCTGATTGGGGCCAGGGATTGAGCTGGCAACCGAGGTACGTGCCCTTGACCGGAATTGAACCTGTGACCCTTCAGCTGGCAGGCCGATGCTTTATCCACTGAGCCAAACCGGCTAGGGCTATTTTCTTTTCTTTAACTGTTGTCACTATTGCTAACTAAGAGTAAAAAGCTGCCCACACACCCTGGATCCAGTTATAAGAGGATCTAAGCTGGTACTTGGCATATTCTTCAGATTCTTCTAACAGGCTTTTGGGCCCTTAATACAGGGCGTGGCCCATGAGAGGAGGGGGAAGCCCAAATGCTCTCATTGTGTCTCGGCACAAACCCACCCTGGATTGGGGGGCCCCAAACATTTTCCCACTGAGGTGCAAGCCCGCCCCTGGCAGCCCTGTGCACACACAGGAGTTTTGTCTTTCGAAGCGCCGGCCCACTTGTCCCTCATGAAGGCCCTGCGGCACAGGCAGGAGGTGAATACCGTGCCCATTTGACAGACAAGAAAACAGAGGCCCAGAGAGGTTCAGTGACTTGTCTGAGATCATGAGTATGTGCTGGGCTGTCACTAGGCCCCAGGGCCCCAGATGTCCCTGCTCCATGTCTTGCCTCTCTCCAGCCTGAGCTGACAGGAGGAAACTCCACAGCGGCCTCCAGGAAGCCAGGCAGCAAGCAGCGACACAGTGAGCGGAAACTGATGCTGACCTGCCAATCCCATCAGCGCTGAGAGCTTCCCCCGATTCTAATTCTACACCCCTCCGGCCTGCGGGGGGGGGGG